GAGTCTTATGAAATCATCGTTGTCCTATCTTTCTTGTGCAACCAATAATGCCCAACCCTTTCACCGTAAACACGTTTCACAACCTTTAAGAGAATTCTGAACCTAATGCAAACACAAAAGAGCTTAGAGAGTTGTGTGAGATGCTAATAAACCAAAAGAATAAGTTTGGGGGTCGCGAGAAGGGCATGAAAAAAATAATATTAATAATAATAGAAATTTGAGAGCTTCATCTCAGAATCAAAAATAAGAATTGCACATATTGAGGTGTATAAAGGGTAGACACCTTAAGCGGTGGTTGAGAAAGTGGAAGTTGATGTAGTTCTTAGTGTTTGCTTAAAGGAAATCGAGTTCTCTTGTTTTGTTATCTAATCCTTTTCTTTAAGCCCACTAACCAAGCCTAATGTTACAAGCCTGTAAAGACCTTTTGATCCTTAGTGATGTCTAATCCTCATTAGTAGAGAGTAGTTCGATACTTAGGCTTATGGAGTCTACCACCATTTGATAAACTTCACATTTCTGCATAGAATAATCCGGGAAGTCGGAAGGTGGACTGAAGTGGGGATTACCTACTCAGGGGACCAATAGAGAAAGATAGTCAATTCAACTTTTAACTTCTTAGAATGTTGAGCATTTTCTAGTAACAATGTTTCAACAATTTTTTAGATTTGTATAAATTCTAGGCAAGTCCTTGTGTTTGAGTTTGAGTCTAATTTTTCTCATTTCATTTTCAATTTTGTTGTTTTGTGTTTTTGTTTGTTAGTTGTTTTTCTTTTTAGTCATGTTTTATACCTGATGCTCGAGGATGAGCATGTCTTAAGTTTGAGAGTATTTGATAATCCAAGGATTATACTGTTTTATTGAGGCTTTTTGGCCGGATTTTGGATACTTCTTATGTCGCTTTTGCCTGAATTGCAACTTAATTTCATATGTTTTATGTTTCAGGTCAAAACATGCACTTTGAGCAAATAATAGCGGAATCGAGTTTCTGGACCCAGAAGCAAGCAAATCTCAGAATTCGGGGAAGTTCTGAAGCGGATTTGAAGCACTATGATGCTTGTTCCCATTGGAGAGCAACGAAGATAGAAGATTCGAGCAAGGAAGCAAGCGGAGGGCAATTCCATAAATTCAAATTTGTTCAGGAAGGCTCGCCGCTGTGATAAACTCTCAAGATTTCGTTGCCGTGGCGAAGTTTATTCTTCGCCATGGTGAAGTTTATTCTTCGCCGCGGCGAAGTTTGCGATTTCCAGTTTATATCAAAACGCACAATTTTATTTTAGGAAAGTTTTTAGGTTTTTGGACCGACTATATAACGAAAGCTTAGCCATTTTTAGATGGGTTCATCATTGTTTAGAGTAAATTCGACATTTTGGAGAAAAGAGAGAGGATTTGAGGTTGATTTGAGAATAAACTCTTTGGGATTCATCAATTAGGGAAGATCTTTATTCTCTTTTCTTATTTCAATATGTTGGATACTTTGTTTAATGTTTTTATTTCAATTTGTGTTAATTTCATTATGAACTAACTCACTTTGGGTTAGGGTTTTGATGTAATTAGGATTTTTATGTTTAATCAATAGATTATTGTTGTTTTTACATTCTGCTGCACGGGTTGTGTGATTATTCTTGGTTTTATTGAATTTATTTGTTGAACATGATGAGATTGAGAAATGAATCATGTATGAACTTCTTAGGGTAATCACCATTGTTGTATTGAACGCTAGAGATAGGTTTGAGAATCAATGAAATTAATTTAGGATTCCATTAGCTTAATGAACTTGAATCTATTAATCTTCAAATTGTTAGGTGCGGAAGCTTAATAGGGGAAAGTAGGAAAACATAGCCTGAGAATGTATGTTTTACACATTAGGGAATTCGATTTATAATCCGTGCATGTGAGTGTAAGGGTAGCATAATTCGTAGATTAATTCATAGAATCCTAGTGAAGTCAAAACCCTAACCGTTTGCTTTAATTGATATTTTCTCTCGATTTAGTTTTTCTGTTATTTACTAGCCTTTTAAATACGTAGTAAGTTTTGTTTTCACTTTAGCTTAAATTCATCCCGCAACTCCAAACATTTTCGGTTTCTCCAACTTGATAAACAACTAGGAAAATCAGTGCTTAACAAACAATCCTCGTGGGAACGATACTTCACTTATCACGTTATTACTTGTGCGACTAGTGCACTTGCTATACATTGCATGTTGTAGTTACAACGCATCACTTATCTCTCTCAAATCCTAATTGTCACTGCTACAATGAACATCATGGCTAGAAATGCATAATGTTGTAGTGACACATCCTCGTGCATTTCCTCCGTCACTTTCTCAATCCAACTTTTCTGCACATAAGGGATCTATATGGTTGGATTTTGGGTGGAGTCATTCTAGCTTCTAATGGAGTTCTATAGTCATGAGCCTTTTAGGGGTTGTTTGGTTGGGGGTTATCCTCTATTATTAAGGTAATGTCAGCTTATATTACTTATATTACCACGTTTTGTTGTTAAGTAATATAAGATTCTGGATATATTCTAAAACTAATAGTAATTACTGTTGGTTATATAGGTGGTAATCTAAATACTTCCATTTTCTTAGGTATTTTAAAATTACTTGGTAATCTTAATTTTGTTACAATTTTACCCTTAACTATTAAATTTTTTGAACAATAATGCCCATATTTTGAAATTAATGTACATGAACTTGCCATTACAATTTTACTCCAAACTAATTTAGTTTTTGGACAATAATACCCTTATATTGAAAACAAATTGTAGGCCACCCAAGACCACCGTCGCCCGCTAGCCACCACCGCTGGCCGTTGGCCAACCAGATCAATGGCCGGAAACGGCCATATCTATTCCAGTTGGAATAGAAACGGAATAGATCTAGCCGTTAACGCCTAGATTTTCGTTGCATGACGCCAAAATGGATCTTGCAATTAATGGCCAAATCAATGGCACACAACGGCCATAGATATGGTCGTTGACACACACTAATCTGAAACGGCCAGAATAGTTCTAGCCATTTCCAGCCAGATCCATAACCATCTGGCCGTTTTCGGCCATTGATCTTGCTGAAAACGACTAGATCGGCACACAACCGGTTAGATCTAGCTGGTCATCCATCATTATGGAGACTGTCGATAGCGGTCAGCAGTGGTGACTGACGGCTAGCAGTAGCTTGGGGTGAGTGGGGGTGATTTTGTTACAAATTAAACTTTTATATGACTATGTTTTAGCAAAATTTCAAATGTAAGTGGTTAAATAAAATAATTCAAGAAATAATAATAAAAATAGTATTGTATTAATATTTAAAGAGGGCAATTTAGTAATCTATAAACATACCCACCAATTTATCCTCCTAACCAAATATATCAATATAACATACCCACCAATTTATTACAATCTAACAAAACACATTTTCATAAACATTCCCAATAGAGGTGGGCAGGGCAAGGCCCGGTCCCAAATTGGCTGGGATCGGTCCTAGGTCCGTGAATATATATACATACAGGGGCGGACCCACATGGGGTCACATGGGGTCAAGTGACCAATTAGATTTTTTTTTTTTAAATTAGTTAAATTTTTCCCCATAAAAAAACTAAATTACAAAATTACAGTAAATTAAATTAATTAAAATTTTTTACTATCTCTGATAATATCATTCCCTTTTTTTCCCAATCCCAAATTTTTCTCTTGCCTAGCGTGCCCCACTCCATCTTTTCAATCCCTATTTTTCTCTAATAATATATTGAAATTGATGCAATCATTTAATTTTGTGTTTAGTCTATTTATGATGAAAGATTTACTTAGTTTTACAAATGAACTTTCTCAAGCACTACAAAGAAAAGATCAAAATATTGTAAATGTTATGAATTTGGTTGAAGCGTGTAAGCAAGTTTTACAATTGATGAGGGATAGTGGATGGGAGAATTTACTTAGCAAAGTTTGTTCTTTTTGTACCAAACATGACATTGATATTCCAAATAAAGATGACAAATTTTTTATTCAAGGGCAATCACAACGGAAGACTAAAAGTATCACAAACGTGCATAATTATCGTATTGAAGTATTTTATAGTATCCTAGATATGCAGCTTCAAGAGTTGAATAATCGTTTCAATGAGGTAAACACTGAATTACTTATTTGTTTGGCATGCTTACGTCCAAATGAAAATTTTGTTGCTTTTGATAAACAAAAATTGATGCGCCTTCCTGAACTTTATCCAAAAGATTTTTCTAACTTAGAACTCATAACACTTGATTCTCAATTTGATATTTACATTTTGGATGTACGCTCTAATGTCAAATTTATGGGATTGAATGGGATTGGAGATCTTGCAAGAGTGATGATTGAAACTACGAAGGATAGAGTATTTCTATTAGTTTATCTGTTGATAAAATTAGCATTGATTTGACCAGTTGTCACGCTAGTGTAGAGAGAGCATTTTTAGCAATGAATTATGAACAATCGTTTGTGAAATGGAATGAGTGATTAATGGTTGAATGATACTTTAGTTGTGTATATAGAGAATGATATATTTAATAGTATTGATAATGAAGTCATTATACAATATTTTCAAAAGATGAAATCTTGTCGAGGATAATTATAAATATATTAGTTAATGAGAATTTTATTAATACAAATATTTGCGATTATTTTTATTTATATTTATGTTAATTGTTAGCTTAGCCTTTGATCCCGTAAGTTTCATTCTTGGGTCCGCCCGTGTATATATATGTATTACTGATGGACTGAATTAATATATCTCAAAAGCAAGTAATTTAAAAGAAAGATGGGTTAAATAAATTTCAATCTCATCATGAGGTTCATCTATTTCGTAATTTATAACGTTTCGAGATATCCGATAGAGTCAGTTACTCATTTAATCTCGCTACCTCACAGCAAAAGGAGTACATCCTGAACTCCATCCACTTCATTAAATAAAAAACTAACACAGTAAAACGAAATTTCAGATCTAGCTAGTGACAACAAACCAACTTAATTATCTAGTGATATGAGCAATGAAGGAATCAAACTCCAAGCGAGAAACTCCACCTTCACCCATTGATTGTCGCACTTTGCTACCATATTCTGCAGCTTTCTTCCGCATCTCATCTCCCTCCTTACATCCCATTAATCTTTTCACAGCTGTTTCGACCATATTTGATGTCACTATCTCTTGTCTGTGAGCCCAGTGCCTAACAACAATGCCAACTTTTAGCACTTGTGTTATAAGCACTGTGTTTCTGGGCTGATCAGAGTGCATTGGCCATGCCCCTATTGGAACTCCCATGCTTATACTCTCCATGCAAGAATTCCAGCCACAGTGACTCATGAATCCGCCTGTTGCAGGATGAGCTAAAATTTCCAGTTGAGGTGCCCACTCTCTCACTATAAATCCCATATCCTTTACAGAATCTTCATACCCTATTGGGAGCTCAGCTCTTCTCTCTTCTCCGTTGAAAACATCTCCTTTGTCCGCATCTCTCAGTGCCCAAATGAACTTTTGATTGCTTTGCTTCAAGCCAAAGGCAATCTCTTTGATCTGCTCATTGTTCATGGTACTTGTTGTCCCAAAAGACACATATATCACTGAGTCTGATGCTTGTTTATCTAGCCATTCCAAGCAAAAATTCCTGCTATTCGAGCTATTATTCTGAGGTATTATCACTGGGTTGAATGGCCCTAAAGCCCAATTCTTAATGTTTTCGGCCACTGTTACTCTCTCAAGCAAATCCATGGAAGCACCTTCTATCAGTCTGCATGTGTTGTAAATAAATCCAGAATTGAACTTCCGGTAGTCGTATTCAAAAGCAATGGAATCCAAGAACTCATTGGTGAAGCAACCTTCTAGGGATGGGATGTCTTTTGGGATTACATCATTGGCCTCTACGGAGTTGCCCATTGTTTCCCATATGTACAAGTAAACAGCAAAAGCTGACACGCTATGGAAACAATAAGACTCTACACTGGGGATTAAACGAACTTCTTGAATCGCAGAGCCCATCATGGAGTCATGAATGACAATCAGTCTTCTCGCCTGTGAAGAAAGCGCACGTAAAAGTTGAGCCAGAGGAGCCCGAAGCCGCTTTAAGACATCGAAACATGGTTGTAGATGAGATGGAAATTTGCATTCTTCGTTGGGGTCAAGAAGAGGAGACAATATTGGAGGAATTTCAAAGTCATGAAAATGGATGTTGAAAGAGATGCGAGGGTTCCAGCCGTGGACCCGAAGCTTGGCCTGGTGGTTGTGGGAGGCGGCGCCAACGTAATGAAAGGGAATATTATAGGAGAGAATGAGGCGGGAAAGTTGGAGGAGTTGATTGAGATGGCCTTGAGCTGGAAATGGCACCATCACAACAACCACTTCTTCTTCTTGTCGATTCACCCTGAGACCATTTTGGCTATGGTTTTGGTTGTCTTGATGGTTAGTCATTGATTCAAAATGGCTTTGATGGAGTGATTCAATTGTGTTTGGTTTACATAAAATGGTCTTGCGATCTTTCCCCATGAATATTATATAGTTGCGTGGAATGTTTTAATATGAATTTTGCGTATTTATTTTTTTACGACCATAATTTGGTATTTGAGTGTCGATGTCATCACATGGATCACATCATAATATGCGTAACACATGTGCATTTGATGATAATGTGCTGACTTGGACGGAACAATTTCTCTCATCATTAATTATAGATGTCAAATAGGCATGTGCGAATAAGTATGTGTATTTGTTAGATGAGGTTTCTACCATTGAAAAGAAAATGTTGATAACACTTTATAATTTGTCAATAAATTTTAGGCTTTTCATGCATTAATGAAAGAGTAATGTTAGGTTTATAACTCAATTTTACAACCTTCTCTCACAAACTCGACGTAGCAGTTCGTCATCGCTCAACTTGTAAAATGAGTCTCGTCTGCTTGTATAAGTCTCGTCTGTCTATTTGCGAGTTAACCAATGATGAGCTTTCATATTAAAAGTTGTAAGAGAATGTTATAAACCTAGCATTATTATTAATAAAAACCCTAAAATTATTCCACTATTTCTATCACAATTAATGGACCTATTTATGTGTAAAATGACTTTGAATAAATGCTGGTCCAGCCCATGTGTGCTACTGTTAATTCTAAAGATTTTTTTTTTATGCATTGTAAATTTTAATATGAAGTCCAATGTTTAGAGGTCTTAAAAGTTGATAGTGACGTAAATTTTTGTAAAAGGTTACACAAGCTCAAGTTTTTGGATGAAAAGTAAAAATATTTATTTACATCTCTTTGAAATTTCATAAAAAGAGCATTCCTTATTCAAGCGGTCCAATTAAACTAAACCTCAATAGAAACTTATTATTAATTTTTAAATAATTAAAAGCACATAAAATTTTATTAGAAAGAATGTTCCATAAAACATTTAATTTCTTTTAAGAGGTGTATAATTTGAATTTAAATACATTTAAAATAATAATACCACTCTTAAAAGATAAGTGTCTAAGTGATATAGCAATTGATTTATCAACATCACATTAATGATAAGATCGTGTGATAAGTGATAAAAACGTGCTACATCAATTGGCACATTTATGAAAATATATAACTAACCTTCTCAAGCCTCATGAGACCTCACTTTCTCAGGCCCCCATAAGTCTGAATGTATGTAGTCTAAGCATCTTTTGGCTAGGTGTATGCTCTTTGGGAAACTGACTCTGTGCTGTTTTCTTAAAATACAGTTCTCACAGAACTCTAGGGTTGATATTGTATCCTTTCCTAACATGCCCTAGTTACTTAGGATATCTAATCCCCTCTGGCTCATATGTCCCATCCTAAGGTGCCATCTTTCAGTTACTGACATATTTAAGATGACTATGGCTGAACTTAGACAATCAGAATAATATTCTCCACATAGGATGTATAACCCATTCCTTTTTTCTCCTTTCAGGATAAGATTCTGGTTTCTATACACATTCAGCCACCCATTTTCGGCTTTGTAACAACACCCTTCCTCATCTAAGGTTCCTAAGGATATGAGGTTCCTTTTGAGTTCTGGAATGTACCTGACATGGGTGAGTTTTATTAGTTTCCCACTACAGAGTCTAAGGGTTATGCTACCTTTACCTTTAACCCTACAAGCATTGTTATTCCCCACGAAAATAATTTCCCTATCATATTCCTCAAAGTCTTGAAACCAGTCCCTATTGGGGCTCATATGGAATGAGCACCCAGAGTCTAACACCCACTCTTTTGTATTGTTAGAAACAGAGATAGTAAGCACCTCTGTTTCTTCAACTAAGTGTTTGGATGAGGCTAGGTTACTCTCTGTGTTTCGCTGTTTTTGTTTCTTAAGCCATTCAAAGCAATTCTTCTTCAGATGACCAGTTTTGTTACAGAAGAAGCATTTTCTAGACTCTGCCTTATGCTTATTGTTCCATTTACCCCGTTTCTTGTTTTTGGACCCCTGGCTAGGTTGACTTCCTTTACCAGATTGAAAGATGTCTGGTTTTCCCCTAACTAACAGGTTACTCCCATTTCGTTTTTGGACCTTTAACTCAAGTTCTCTAGCCTTAAGACCAGCCACAATCAATTCAACACTAGGAACAGTACCAGAGTACTGAAGTGCATTCTTAACTACAAGATAATCCTCAGTAATGGAGTTTAGTAGTATCATGGCTAGACTAGTTTCTCCTAATTCATGATCTGTGCCCTTTAAAATTAAGGTCATTTTGAGGAATTCATCTAGGTTCTCCTCTATTGTCTTGTTACTGTCCATTTTATATGAAAAAAGAGCACCCTTAAGAAATGCTAAATTTGGTGCAGATTGCAAAGCATACAAAGTTTCGAGTTTACCCCATAACCCCAGAGGAGTTTCGATTCCATCAACCTTCCTCAGTACGCTGTCTGAGAGGTTCATCATGATCAGATTGTAGGCTGCTTCGTCAATCTTCTCCTTCTCCTTCAATTTCTCCTCAGGCCATTTCTTTGGATCCTTCTCCAGTGCAAGACCGACTTTATTGTGTGAAAGCAGAGCTTTCATTTTCTTCTTCCAGCTCCTGAAATCGATCTTCCCATCGTATTGGGAGATCTCCATACGGGCAGTGCTGTAACGGCAGGGCAAGATAGTCTAAGGTGTAAGTGGTGTTGTTATACCAGAGGTCGTCAAGTACTACCAGGCAGTTTTTAAGGCGGTTACTGCTTTCCAGCCGATATACCCTTAAACTTAACAGATAAGACGAAAGTGAATAGTGCTGGTACAGCCCCTATGCAATAACCAAGATTTCTCTCCCTGACTCATGTTTGTGATCTAATCTCACGAATTAACCCCAAGACTCAGCAAGATTCGAAGTCCTAAAGCTCTAGGAACCTTTAGATTGTAATTTCTCTCCTAAAATATCACTAAATAACAATGTTTCAATTTAGGTGTCTGAAATAAAAATTTATCATGTTATAGATATTCAGTTAAAGTTTTATTGTTTAAATTAATTGACCAAGTGTTAATTAGATAGGGAAAAGATACCAATATAAATAACAGAGGCAAATTGCTATATCAATTATTCAAGGTACTAGCTTTGTACTTAGCGATGCCTCCAAGAAAATAATGCTAATTAACTAAATTTTAGAGATGAGAAAATGCCTCACCGGTTTGGGTAGTCGTGGGGGGGTTAATTTAGGGAATGAGGTGGATATGAGGAGCAAATTAATTCCCCATGTTGAAATGGAAAGGGGATGGATTTAGCACTCCCCACCCCAAAACACACTTTATTTCCCGTTATAAAATTAAATATAAAATATTTTTATTATAGAAATATAATTTTTATAATTAATGCATATTTTTTTATTTCACATTTTAAAAGAATGAAGTCTTAATGATTTCTCATGAAAAGAAATCAGGAAGACGCCACGAAATAAATGATGGTACAACACATTAGAAATTATTTTACAATTTAGTTTTTATTCTTAATTGTTTTGGTTATGACTTGTTTAAGCTTCTTACTTTTAATATTGCTACAATACTTTATGGTTATTTTTATTTAGAACATTAATACTATATAGTAATGGTTTCCTTAATTATAATGTCATTTATGTTTAGTGTGATTATTTATATAGTTTATATATAATTAAATCGGGGAATAGAGTGGATTTGGGGAACGCACTTCTGTGGCGATCTTCGCTTAAATAATTTGGGGTAATACGGACCAAAATCCTGAAAGTGTGTTGGAGAATGAAGGAGGCCTCCCCATCCCCCAGCCGCTCCACTGCCAACCATGAACCACCCCAGTGGACCCACTGCCATCAATACTCAATTTTCTATTGTTTAAAGGATAATGTGGTAACTCAACTAAAACTGAGCCTTCACAAAAGACAACTTCTTTAACTAGTTTCTTCTCTACAAACAAGATTGCAACCAAAAAAAAACATATCATAATTCATATCTACGAAATAAAATGTATTTTTACACAGTATCAAAAAGTAAACTAAATAGCAAAAGAACTCAAACAATTCCAACATAAAGCAAACTCATTTCATACCAGTTAAAATATCCACATTCAAACAGTTACCCAAGAACTTAGAACTTTAACTTAGAATTGACCATAAGTTATATATCCCATCGCATCCTAAAGCAAACCAGCAAGTAGAGGCGACCAACAAAGCCATAAAGCACACCCTGAATGTGCATAGGTCGACGAGCTACAACAAGTCTTGCAGGCCTATAAAACCTCTTATAGCACTACTACCAAAGAAACTCCTTTTGCTCTGGCCTTTGGAGCAGAAGTTGTCATTCCCGTCCAAATGGGTTTGCCCTACCTGAGAACTCAGCACTTTAGTGAGGATGAAAATATCTATCTGCTTTCTTAAGAGATAGACCTACTAGAAGAACGACAGGCACAATCAGCCCTCAGAGTCATGGCACACCAAGAGAAGATTACTCGCTACTATGGCGCTAGAGTCAAGCCAAGAAAATTCTTTGAACGTTGAAATGCTGAGAAAAGATTGTTCAAAGTTGTGATATTTTGCTTGAAGCATTATTTTGGACTAATCTGGAGCTGTGTTCTGGCAGTAAAAGAATTGTTTGAAGCTTAGAAGTTGGTCTGGAGCAGTTCCCGTAGCAGTTCTGTAGGCATGCTAAAGTGATGTATTTTGGTGAATTCAACATGTATTTAGGTTGTCAACTTTGTATCAAATTAATGTGATATAATCAGAGTTGCTAAGTTTGTGTGGTTAGGATGCCACTTTGGACTAAAATATGTTTTATGGTTAGGTGCAATAGTGTCTGTCATGTATATATGTCTGCTGTAATTTTTCAGTTGAATGTAATGCAATATTACAACTTTTTTCCTTTACTTGTTTATCATCCTTTTCTCTCCCGTAAGACCACATTCATACTCATATAACCAACAAGTGGTATCAGAGCTCCATCTTGATCTTAAGGGGCCTGCAAAACCTCCATCTTTGCACACTCTCTATCAGTCCTTACCTCACCGAAGACAGACTTCATGGCAACAAGTTCAGCCTCACTCTTGCCTCCAACCTTCAATGGGGAACAGTACCATATGTGGGCTGTGAAGATGAAGGCTTACTTGAGAGGTCAGAGTCTATGGCAGTATGTTGAAGAAGAGAAACAACCACCATAGTTGGGACCAAACCCAACCCTGAACCAGATAAGACTCCATGAAGAGGAGACTGCAAAAGCTCCAAGAGCCCTGTCCCATTTACATGCTGCAGTCACCGATCAAGTTTTCAAAAGGATAATGGCTTGTGAGACAGCAAAGCAAGCTTGGGACAAGCTTAAGGAAGAATTTGGAGGAAGCACCCAAACCAGAAACATGCAAGTCTTGAACCTAAGGAGAGAGTTTGAGACATTAAAAATGCAAGAAACTGAAGTGGTTAAAGAGTATGTAGATAGATTAATGAATGTGGTTAACAAGATAAGGCTGTTAGGGGAAGAGATAAGTGATAAAAGAATTGTTGAAAATGTGTTAGTAAGCCTACCCGAGAGGTTTGAATCAAAGATTTCTTCTTTGGAGGATTCTAAAGACTTGTCTCAAATCACCTTAACCGAACTTGTCCATGCTCTTCAAGCCCAAGAGCAAAGAAGAAAATTGAGGCAAGAGGATAGTAGTGAAGCTGCATTTTTTGTCCAGTAGAAGAGCAAGCCAACTCAGGGAGAAAACAAGAATTTTGGAGGAGAGAAAAGAGGAAAGGAGAGAGTAAACAAGCAGTGGAACAAACCAGCAGGTTTCAGGGTTTTTGCACCATGTTCCCACTGTAAAAAGAAGAACCATGCTGAGTACAAGTGCTGGTTCAAACCAAATGTTCAATGCAGGGCATGCAAGCAGCTAGGCCACATTGAAAAGGTCTGCAAAAACAAACAACAGCAACCTACATAGCAAGCACAGACTGCTGAAGATTTGCAGCAGAATTCTGAATCTGAGCAGCTTTTTGTGGCATCCTGCTATGCTGTTCAGTTCAATGCTGGAACTTAGCTGATTGATAGTGGATGTACAAACCACATGACGCCTAATCTAAAGAATTTTGTGCAGTTGGATCAAGCATGCCAGTCAAGTGTAAAGGTGGGAAATGGTGAACTTGTGAAAGTTAAAGGCAGAGGAGATGTGGCTGTGCAAACCATGACAGGTACAAAGGTCATTTACAATGTGTTATTTGTTCCTGAAATCAACCAAAATCTGCTTAGTGTAGGACAAATGCTTGAAAGAAATTACATTCTGCATTTTGAAAATAAAACCTATACTATATTAGATGATGAGGGAAAGGAGATGATGCATGTGAAAATGGTTGGGAAACGCTTCCCGGTTGAACTTAAAAAACTAGAGTTTCATGCTATGACAGTAACCTCAGATGATACAAATCTATGGCATAAAAGATATGGCCATTACCATTATGTTGGACTTAAGCTAATGAAGCTTAAAGGGATGGTACACACCTTACCCGAAATAGAAGAGAAAGAGAGTCTTTGTAGAGTATGCCAAATAGGGAAGCTTAGCAGACCAGCCTTTCCTACAAATTAGGCCTGGAGAGCTACTGCAAAGCTCCAATTGGTGCACACTGATGTGTGTGGACCAATGCAGACGACATCCTTGAATGGATCCAGATTCTTCATCTTGTTCATTGATGATCATTCAAGAATGATTTGGGTGTACTTCCTAAAACAAAAAGGAGAAGTGGCTGCTGTGTTTAAGAGGTTCAAAGCTGAAGTTGAAAACCAAGTTGGAGTAAAGATCAAGGCTATGAGAAGTGACAATGGAGGTGAATACACCTCAATTGAGTTTGAATCAACTTGCAGGGAAGCTGGAATATGGCATCAGTTTAGTTGTCCCTACATTCCCTAACAAAATGGAGTGAGTGAGAGAAAGAATAGGACAGTAATGGAGATGTCCAGGTGTTTGCTAACTGAGAAGGAGCTGCCAAAGGAAGTATGGGCTGAATATGTCAATACAAGTGTGTATTTGCTGAATAGGCTTCCAACCAAAGCCTTTAAAGGATCAAACTCCATTTGAAGCATGGTATGGAGTTAAGCCTCAAGTGGATCATCTAAGAGTATTTAGGAGTATATGCTATGTACTCATACCAGCCATCAAAAGGTCAAAGCTAGATGACAAAGCAAGGGTTGGAATTCTGGTAGGTTACAGCCTCCAATCCAAGGCTTACCGGATCTTCATTCCACAGTCAAGAAAAGTAGTTGTTTCAAGGGATGTAAAGGTTGATGAGAGGTCAGTGTGGAATTGGGAAGAGAAGAAAATTCAAGTAGATCCAAAGCCACAGCAAAGAGAACAAACTGCTAACCAAACTGAAGGGGCAGATTCTGAAACAGAAGAAGAAATTTCAGTCAGGGGAACCAAACTTCTTGCTGAGATTTATGGGAGATGCAATATTGCATTGCTTGAACCAACATCTTATCATGAGGCAACTAAGTCAAAGGAATGGAGACTTGCTATGCAGGAGGAGTTGTCCATGATAGAAAAGAATGGAACATGGGAACTTGTGGACAGGCCTACCAGGAGGAAAGTGATCCAGGTAAAGTGGATCTTCAAGAAAAAACTGAATCCTGATGGTTCAGTTTTTAAGCACAAAGCCAGGTTAGTTGTGAAATGGTTTGCACAACAACATGGTGTGGATTTCCAAGATACATTTGCCCCGGTTGCAAGACATGATACAATCAGGTTAGTTCTAGCTTTGGCAGCCCAATTTAAATGGAAAGTGTATCAAATGGATGTTAAGTCAGCTTTCTTGAATGGTTGGTTGGATGAGAAGATCTTTGCTGAACAACCTAATGGATATGAACTGAAGGGGAAAGAAGACCAGGTGTACTTACTGAGAAAGGCCTTGTATGGCCTAAAACAAGCTCCAAGAGCTTGGTACAGCAGAATCAATGACTACCTAATCAGCCTAGGTTATGCAAGAAGCCCCAATGAGCATACTTTGTACGGAAAAAAGGCCAATGAAGATGTGATTATGGTTTCCTTGTATGTGGATGATTTGTTGGTGACTGGAAACAATGGAATTCAGGTTGAAGAGTTCAAGAAAGCAATGCACAAAGAGTTTGAGATGACTGATTTGGGAGTGATGACTTACTTCCTTGGAATGGAAATTCATCAATCTCAAGATGGCATTTTCATTTGTCAAAGGAGATATGCAAATGAGATGCTTAAGAAATTTGGAATGGATGAATGCAAGTCAGTTGCCACACCTTTGGTGCAAAATCAAAGGCTATGCAAAGACGTTGAAATGCTGAGAAAAGATTGTTCAAAGTTGGATATTTTGCTTGAAGCATTATTTGGACTAATCTGGAGCTGTGTTCTGGCAGTAAAAGAATTGTTTGAAGCTTAGAAGTTGGTTGGAGCAGTTCCCGGTCAGTTCTGTAGGCATGCTGAAGTGATGTATTTTGGTGAATTCAGCAAGTATTTAGGTTGTCAACTTTGTATCAATTAATGTGATATAATCAGAGTTGCTAAGTTTGTGTGGTTAGGATGCCACTTTGGACTAAAATATGTTTTAGGTTAGGTGCAATAGTGTCTGTCATGTATATATGTCTGCTGTAATTTTTCAGTTGAATGTAATGCAATATTCAGCTTTTTTCCTTTACTTGTTTATCATCCTTTTCTCTCCCGTAAGACCACATTCATACTCATATAACCAAACGTGGTATCAGAGCTCCATCTTGATCTTAAGGGGCCTGCAAAACTCCATCTTGCACCACTCTATCAGTCCTTATCTCACCCGAAGACGACTCATGGCACAAGTTCAGCCTCACTCTTGCCCAACCTTCAATGGGGAACAGTACCATATGTGGGCTGTGAGATGAAGGCTTACTTGAGAGGTCAGAGTCATGGCAGTATGTGAAGAAGAGAAACAACCACCATAGTTGGGACCAAACCCAACCCTGAACCAGATAAGACTCATGAAGAGGAGACGCAAAAGCTCAAGGCCCTGTCCCATTTACATGCTGCAGTCACCGTCAAGTTTTCATAAGGAGAATGGCTTGTGAGACAGCAAAGCAAGTGGGACCAGCTTAAGGAAGAATTTGAGGAAGCAACAAACCAGAAACATGCAAGTCTTAACCTAAGGAGAGAGTTTGAGACATTAAAAATGCAAGAAACTGAAGTGGTTAAAGAGTATGTAGATAGATTATGAATGTGGTTAACAAGATGGTGTTAGGGGAAGAGATAAGTGATAAAAGAATTGTTGAAAATGTGTTAGTAAGCCTACCGAGAGGTTTGAATCAAAGATTTTTTGGAGGATTCTAAAGACTTGTCTCAAATCACCTTAACGAACTTGTCCATGCTCTTCAAGCCCAAGAGCAAAGAAGAAATTGAGGCAAGAGGATAGTAGTGAAGCTGCATTTTTTGTCCAGTAGAAGAGCAAGCCAACTCAGGGAGAAAACAAGAATTTTGGAGGAGAGAAAAGAGGAAAGGAGAGAGAGTAAACAAGCAGTGGAACAAACCAGCAGGTTTCAGGGTTTTGCACCATGTTCAACTAGTTTCTTTTCTACAAACAAGATTGCAACCAAAAAAAACATATCATAATTCATATCTATGAAATAAAATGTATTTTTCCACAGTATCAAAATTCATAGCAAAAGAACTCAAACAATTCCAACATAAAGCAAACTCATTTCATACCAGTTAAAATATCCACATTCAAACAATTCCAACATAAAGCAAACTCATTTCTTACCAGTTAAAATATCCACATTCAAACAGTTACCCAAGAACTTAGAATTGACCATAAATTATCTTCCCCATCGCATCCTAAAGCACACCAGCAAGTACAGGCGACCAACAAAGCCATAAACCACACCCTGAATGTGCATAGGTCGACGAGCCACAACAAGCCTTGTAGGCCTATAAAACCACTTATAGCACTACTACCAAAGAAACTCCTTTTGATCTGGCCTTTGGAGCAGAAGTTGTCATTCCCGTCGAAATAGGTTTGCCCTACCTGAGAACTTAGCACTTTAGTGAGGATGAAAATATAAATCTGCTTTCTTAAGAGATAGACCTACTAGAAGAACGACAGGCACAATCAGCTCTCAGAGTCATAGCACACCAAGAGAAGATTACTCGCTACTATGGCGCTAGAGTCAAGCCAAGAAAATTCTTTGAAGGAGATTCGGTTTTGCACAAAATCACCCTAAACATTCAGGATTTCCCAGAAAGCATATTAGGTCATAACTGGGAAGACAAACCCTTACCCTGTCAAAAGGGTAATTTGAGCGGGGACGTACAGGCTAGGCCACGTCAACGGTGAGGTAGTGAAACGACCCTGGAACGTTGAGATGCTGAGAAAAGATTACTAGTGATCTTTTTAAAATATGGTTGGTAGAGTTTGTCACTATTGGCCGCAAAATATTTAGGCCGGGATTTTGATGAATAAATGTTTCCTCGTTCTTGAGCATAGTATCAGTAAAATGTTTACTTTATTGTGCTTCGAGAGTATAGCCTTTGAGCACACCAGAGACTTGATTTGAGAGAGCAAGCACTATAGACTGATCAAGGAAAATTAACATTACAAACCCTGTGACGTGAGCCAGAGCAATCTTGGTCATATAAGATTGATAAGAGCCCCAACTCTTTTACTGGGATAGCATCAACATCAAAGCAGAGGATGGCGAAGAAGATGGCCGCACATTAGAAAAACGCCATGACTCTATTGATCGCACAACGACAACGAGTTCCCTTGAAGTGGGACAAACGCTCAAGTTGATAGCATGAGGGGTAGAGTTGGCCAAGAAGCGGAGTGTGACTAAAAGCCTGATGCAAAACCATGATCTCGCAAAAAATACCAGTAAGTTAAGTTCTCATAAGAGTCGCACATGACACTTAAAAAGGTAAACCTTGAGGTTAGCTACACAGTGGAGTGTGGCCAAAGGCATTTTGCGCATCCGAGATATGACACCTCTCAATGGCCAAAAGTCGCTTAGGTATGACCAGGGACGTAGCCAGGATTTCTAGTTAATGGGTTCAAAAGATCTAAGTTGATAAATTTACAATAAAATATATTTTGAAGTAATAAGCATAAAAAAATTAATCTGAAAATTTAATTTTAAAAGTTATACATACCAAATAATCAATTTTATAGTTATCCTTGATGATTTTTCATATCCAGAAAACATTGCATAGTTGCTTCATTGACAATGCCGTCAAATATCTCTCTCTTAATATATGTAATAAGACAATCATTTAAAAATTGATCTCACATTCGATTCCATAGTTGAGTTTTCACAATCTTCATCGCAGAAAATGTTTTTTCAACGCTTGCAGTTGCAACAGATAATATCAATGCTAATTTCACAAGTAAATAAACCAAGTGATACACCATGTTCTTCTTTGTTTGAACCAACCTTTTAGCAAGAGCACCAATTCCATATAATGTCAAAAAATCATTATTAGAGCGCATATCAAGAATATAAATATACAACTGATTGTCTAGTAACACAAGCTCCATTGATGAAAAGTCACATGGAGAAAACTGAGAAAGACGGACCCCTTAAGGGATTTCTTTCGCCTTCCCCACCACTCGAACCCAAGACCAAAGGGCTATAGTCAATTGGGAAGCATGATGAGTACCATCAGGCTAGCTAAAATGTAATGGCTGCTTTCTAATCAAGTACTCATAAAATATACATAATGAAAATACATATAAGATGGTAAAAAGAGTAGGGCCCAAAATTTTCTTTTATTACATATAAACATTCTTTATACAAAATAGAACGTCAGTTACAAAATGCCATTAAAACAGCGGATAGTGTAGCTATTGCTCCTCGCTTGCCGACGCCCGTCCAACCGCATTCTCACCTAGATCCTGCATTCAAAAAGAAAACAACGGGGTGAGCACAAAATAATGCTCAGTAAGTAAATCCTCTAAGACTGTCACCGTGACTTCTGTCTTTTAATTCTTTCCTTATAATTTTTCTCATCTCATTTATTTTCTCTGTCACACAGCTCTCTTCTTAACTTCTGCTATATGTCACGGCCTTATCTTACCGGAGGCACGGCCGGGTGGAGTTCACACAGCACCAACCCACTCTTCGTGACGTTCGGGTGGAGATCACAAAGCACCAACCCGTTTTCATACTTATCGGGTGGAGATCACAAAACACCAACCCATTTCTCATCACTATCGGGTGGAGATCACAAAGCACCAACCCGTTTTTTCATATTTTCTCATTCTCTCTACTCTTAGAGTAGTTTATACACATAGTTCTCTACTCTTTCTCAAGACACTTCTCAATACACAATTAATCTTCTCCACTAATGTACTCATGAAATGCCAATATGCAATGTTGCAAGAATTAAGGTTACTACTCATGATTCTCTTAGGCATTTCATCAAACAACTAATGTGCATACATAAACTCTATTATATCTATGGTTCTATTCCTTTCTTGAACCATCCAAAATGGGAGAAAACTCCCTCACAAAATTATAATCCCTGTCATAAAATAACACTTCCAAATAGATTTATCAATCTCCTCCAATTTCATCTCAAGTACATCCTCTCATTGTTACATATTCATCACATAATAACACTTCTCATCAATGAAGTGTAATCAACAACCATAAAATAAATATTCATCTCAACCCAATTTCTCAATAGCATAACATACACATACATATATAAATCTCTACTAAATCTCTACTCAAAAGATTTCTCAAATTTCAACTTGGGTTGGATTTACTTACCTTGTAATGGAGGGATCACACTAGTACTTTCCTTTCCTTTAAATGCTTGTCCCTTCTCTACAACTTTACACAATCAAACCATAGGCCTTCAATGTACAAATATATGCAAAAACTTCACATCTAAGCAAGAATCCTTACCTTAGGATGCCTTAGATTGATTTTCTACCAAGATCCAACTAAAAACCCTCAAAGATCCTTGAAAGATGGAAAGAAGAATTGAGAGGAAATGGTGAAAGAGTATGGCGGTGGAAGAAGAATGAATGAAGGGTTTACTAAGCTTCAACCTTTTTTAGCTCAAAATATATTCATTCATTCCCATATTGCCCTTGCTCTTTCTTCAAAATGCCATCTTTGTCCTTTCAATCATTACAATCACACCCCCACTCTAACATGTTCTCCATAAAATTCTCTTACCTTTTACTCCCCACTTTTCCTACTAACTAAGGGTAGAAAGGTCATTTTGCCCCTATGGAAGAATTCTCTGAAAACCTCAATACACATTTTATTCGGCTCTTTGCCGTGGCGAAAAATTACAGAACCTACCTCTTTGATTGTAGAACCTCGTCGCCGCGGCGAAGATTATTCTTCACCCCGGCGAAGTCTGTAACGGCGAAGACTCTTTCTTCACCCCGATGAAAAATTACAGAACCTACCTCTTTGGTTACAGAACCTCGTCGCCGCGGCGAAGATTATTCTTCACCCCGGCGAAGTCTGTAACACCAAGATTTCGTCAAGTCTTTACAATTTCAGGGCAACCACTCAACCAAACTAATACATCCATTCAACTAAGGGCCAACCAAACAATATGAACAGTTTACCAACTCAAATAAGAGCAAAACAATAAACATTAGCTACGTACCTCAAGTGGGGCATTACACAGATCAACTTCTCTATGTCAAAAGTAGAAAATGAATCATTTGGACTTAAAAATGCCACACAAAGAAGCAACTATATATTCAACTTATTAAAACAACTATTAAGCTCTTGGAGTTGTAAACTAATGGTAGCATAAAAACATGCCACCTTATAATGATGTAAATTTGTAACTTGATGAACTTTGTGTTGCGATAGCCCTTTCATTTGAAAATTGTCATTCATATCTGAGTCAAAAATACTATTTTCTTTACAAAATGAAGAAACTTTAGTTAACAAACCATCCCATCCATCATCTCTTAACATTTGTAGTCTTTGTTTTGATAACTTCACTAATTTCATTGCATTAGCAATATCTTGATCTTTTCTTTGTAAGGCATTTGATAATTCATTTGTAATGCCTAACATGGTCTTCATCAAATGTAAGCTAAATATGAAATCAAAAGACTGTATAAACTTTAACAAAGTCGAAGCTTGAGCTCTTTGTTTAGGATCTGAACCATCCTCAACAACATAATCAAGAACATCTACCACGGATGGAAACATAACAATCAAAGATGCAAGCGTACCATAATGTAAACCCCAATGTGTATCTCCTACTCTTTTAAGCATAGCTTCTTGATTCAGTCCATGTCCACTTGTAAGTTTACCATTTGCTAATGCTTCAGAAACATGAGCAACTTGACATTCTCGAAGGATATCCTGCCACTTACGAAAAGCTCTAACAACATTTACTAGATCGACTGACATGTTAAAAATATTTCCTACTTGAACATCATTTTTTGCAATAGCAACAAGAGTAATTTGAAGTTGATGAGCAAAACAATGAATATAATATGTTGATTCATTCTCCCTCATGATTAAACTTTTTAACCCACTGAACTCACTCTCATGTTACTAGCTTTATCATAACCTTGCTCTCTTACCCTTGATATACTTAATCCATGCTTGGAAAATAATGAATCAATTGATAACTTAAGAGAAGAAGCCTTTGAATCATTAACATGAATAATGCCAAGAAATCTCTCAACTACATGTCCTCTATTGTCAACACAACGTAACAAAACAATCATTTGCTCTTTCATAGATATATCGTGAGAAGCACTTGTATCATTAACATGAATATCCAATCTATCTTTTTTATTCCAAGCACCAAAACCCTCACTAATAAAGGAGTCACCGCCTGCTTGTTTTCCAATCTCAGGTCTAGAAAGATAACAACACAAACAAAAAGCAATCTTTTTTTCTACACTGTGCTTCAACCAATTTGCATATTCTTTATACCAATTAGGATTAACACGACACATTAAATTCCCAATTTTTCGCTTTTTAAGATTATGATTGTGTGGTTGGCAAGGTCCTTTTTGCAAGTAGGCCCTTTTCACTTTGTCTCTATCATTAGGATGTTATTCTAAAATTTTAATCCCTAATCTAAGATCTGCAAGAAGGCTACTCAAGTTAATCAACATATGTTTGTCTTGAGCTAGATTCCATAGGTTTATTGTGAATACTATCGTGATGCCTTATGTTTTGTTCAATTGATGGTTCCTCATTAGAAAACTTTCTTTGGATCACAAACTTGTCCATAACTAAAAAAAGAAAATAATTTGTAATTTGCAATTACAAATCCAAAAATCCCAATAGAAAATTCAAAGAATTAATAGGGGCTAACCTTAAAACCTTCCAATTCTTCAACTTAAACAATAGTTAAAACTTAATTTATCAAAATCATCAACTATAAACTTAAGACCCAAAGCTTATAACTTAGGCTTTTCAAACAATTTCTACTAACCCAATAAAATTCAACTCATAAACCCATGAAAACTCATCAAATCTAGCTCTAAATATCAAGCAATTAACCAATATATCAAAATTAAACCAAATCCCCAAATCTCAACAACTTAGGGTTTCATCAATTCTTTAAACCCATTCAAAATTAACTCAATAACTAACCAAAATTTATCAAACCAAACTCAAAACAATAACTAATTAACTCATACGTCAACATAAACAAGATTAAATCAAAACCCACATAAGAAAAACCAAGAATTTCATCTTCTAATTTCAAACTCATTTATTAATCTCAACAAAAAACTAAATGCATTTCTCAAAATTAACTAAATCTAGCTCATTCAACATATTGTTTTGTTAATTACACTGGTTTGGACTTCTTTATGTCATGCTCTACTGTCTCTAACATAATTGGAGCTCAGCAAGGGTCTTCATCATTCCGTTCATATTGAAATTCATTATGAACTATGAATATGAATCAAGTAAGGACTGCAAGATTAAATCAACTTGCAACTCAACGTCCAAACCAAAGCCCAAAGTCTCAAGTTTGTTTATATCCATTCATCTTGAGTACGTGTAAGGACTAACTGAGGCATCCTCTGCCATTCAACTCCTAAATAGTTGCTTTGACACCTCATACCTCTCGTGACGAGCTTGTTCTTGAAAAAGCTCCTTGAGTTGTATAATAATTGCAGCAACATCCATCTTTTCATGTTGTTTTTGAAATTCAGGTGTCATCGATGCTAGTATAATAAATTGGACAGTGTCAACATCCTTAAGATACTTTTGATAACTATCTTTTTCTTCCTGAGTGGCTGTGAGCTGTTAAGCTCTGGAACAAAAAGAAAACAGAGAGAAAATGTAAAAGAGGAAGCATGAATTCTTTATTGATTTGTTTAAACAAAATGGTACAGTAAATGGCACTTTTATAGTGCTGAGATAACAGTAACTAACTGTTAAAACAAATTGAAAGTAAACGGCAAATGCACTAACTCAACTCACTCTAATTCTTTACTAACATCCTCTCTTAAGCTAGACAACTCTGACTCTTGCTCTTGACTCTTTTCCTAACATCCGCTCGTAAGCTGAGCTAAGGATTGAGAAATATTAAAAGTTACTTTGGTGACTTCTGATACTCCAAACTAAAGCAAACTGAAACTAATGCATGATACTAAAGTTGTTACAACAAAGTCAACAAGTCAATCTGATACTGATGCTATTTTCAGCCAAACTAAAACAAAAAGAAACTAATGCTAATTGAACCTAATGCTTTCTACAAGTCAATCTGATACAGATGCTATTTTAGCCAAACTGAAGCAAACTGAAACTGATGCTTTCAACAAGTCAATCTGATCCTAATGTTATTTCAGCCAAACTAAAGCAAACTGAAACTGATGCTAATTGATGCTCCTGCACTTTACAGACATAAGAAACTGATAATCATTTCATCAAGATCAACTGTGATATTTCAGCAAGATTAATGCTGATAATCTCATCTTGATGCAACTGTAAAATCATCCTGATGCTCCAACACTTTACAAACTCAAGAAACTTTAGAAGAGGAAGATGCGTTTTGTTTAGGAGAAGAAGCTTTTACATGAGATGAAACTACTGTAAGTTTTGCTCAAAGATACTTAACTCTGGAAGTGGACAGAGACTTAGTAAAGATGTCAGCAGTCTGATGTTCTGTAGGGACATATTGAACCTTTAAGTTGTTGACAGCAACTTGTTCTCGAATATAATGGGCATCCAATTTAATGTGCTTGGTTTGAGCATGGTAGATTAGGTTGGATGCAAGAGAACCTGCACTCTGGTTATCACACCAGATGATAGGGATTTTAGGAAATTCATACCAATTTCAGAGAACAAGCTATGAAACCAAGCAATTTATGTTGCTCCCTGAGCAAGGGCTCTATATTCAGTCTCAGTAGATGACAAAGACATTACTTTCTACTTTTTAGAGCTCCATTGCAAGAGGTTGGGACCAAGGAATAAACAATAGCCACTTGTCAATCGTCTATCTTGGTTGTCCCCTGCCTAGTCCACATCAGTGAAACATTCAAGATGAAATAGCTAAATATTAATTAACTGAATTCCAAAATCAATGGTGCCTTTAAGATAGCGAAGAAGTCTCTTACAAGCTTGCCAATGAAGTTGAGTGGGGGCTTTGAGAAATTGACTTAATTTGGTAATGGAGAAGGCAATATCAAGTCTTGATAGAGTGAGATATTGCAGGGCACCAATTATGCTTCTATAAAGGGAAGGTTTGTCAAACAACTCACTATCTTCAAATGTCAATTTGTTCCCTAAAGCCATAGGGGTTAAGCATGGTTTGGAGTCACTCATACCAGTTTTTATTAGGAGATCTCTAACATATTTATCTTGACTCATGTGAATGCTTGAATCTATCCTATGTACCTCAAAGCCTAAGAAGTACTTGAGAAAGCCTAGAGTTTTCAATGCAAACTCAATATTCAGCTTGTGAATAATATCATGAACCAATTTAGCATCACTCCCAGTCAATAGAATGTCATCAACATAAACCACTACATACATAACTTGACCATTGTGTTTATGAATGAAAAGACTAGAATCAGCCACTGAAGAAGTAAATCCCCACTGGAGAAAAGCATTTTTGAGCTTCTCAAACCAAGCTTGAGGAGCTTGTTTGAGACCATAGAGGGCATTTATCAGTTTGCATACATGAATGGGTTTTTTGCTATCAACAAAACGTTGGGGCTGTGTCATGTAGACTGTCTCAGTAAGCTCTCCATTTAGAAATGCATTATTAACATCGACTTGCTGAATATCCCAACCATAGGTGACAGAAAAGCGAAGTATAACTCGAATTATGGATGATTTAATGATAGGGCTAAATGTTTCTAGATAATCCACCCCGGGTGTTTGTTGAAAACCTTTAGCAACAAGCCTTGCTTTGAACCTTTAAATAGATCCATCATAATTTTGTTTAATTCTAAACACCCACTTGCATCCTACAATGTTCATGTGAGACTCAGCTGGTACAAGTTCCCACGTATGATTAGATATCAGTGCTTAAAACTCACTATCCATGGCAATCTTCCAGGAGGGGTGAGAGAGAGCTTCAGCTACACTGCTGGCTCATGGGTATCTAATGAAGAGGAAGGGTTGATAGTGGTGGTCAAAAGGGAGTGTGATGTTTGGACTTTGACCGAGTGATCATAGGGTGAGTGTTTAAGAAGTGTGAAGATGCTGGCTTAGACGACTCTGTTAAGGTAGTAGGAATGGATAAGGGTTTATCAAAAGGTAGCTCTACTGCTAGATGAATAGACTCAAAAGAAGTTGGACATGAAGATTTAGGTGAGTGAGTAGGTTGTGATTTTGAATCTGATGGTGGAGTATTCTCGTGAGAAATGTGTAGAATGGACGTGTTTTGAGGGTTGGTAAGAGATAAGGTGGAGGAATCTGCTAGTGGGGAAACAACAGTATAAGTTTGTGATTTTGAATCTGATGGTGGAGTATTCTATAAGAAGTGTGTAAATGAGTGTTTTGAGGGTTGGTAAAGATAAGGTGGAGGAATCTGCTAGTGGAAACAACATATAAGGTAAATGTGACTGAATTGTAGTATCAGGTGCAGAAGGTGACTGAGACAATGTTGTATCTATTGAACTTTGTTGACCATTGGTAGGTAGAATAGTGAAGAAAGAGATATAGAAGAAGGACTAGAAATGGGTGGTGATAATGAAACACAGGTAAGGACAGAGGAGTAGGCATTCTGAACAAAGTTCATCAGTAAATGAGAATAAGGAGCATTGTTTCTAGAATTGAAATTTGTGTCAGTGGCAAAAGGGAACCTGGTTTCATCAAATTTACACTCTAACATATGTAAATTTTTCCTTAAGGATCCTGCATTTATACCCTTTGTGATGCATGTTGTACCTAACAAAAACACATGTTGTAGTATGGAAATCAATTGTTGAGAGTTGTAAGGTCTTAGGAAAGGATAGGTAGCACATCCAAAGACTCTAATATGGTTATATGCTAGAATTTGTTTGAAGAGAACTTGAAATGGGAAAGACTAGACAAGA